TGGGCTGGGCTGGGTCACACTGAGTCAGGTTGTTGCTCCAGTGGGTATTGTCCTGGGTGATTTGTGAGCAGTGTACTTGTTTCCAGAACTCATCTTCCATTGAAGGTACAGACATCACTGCTAACCCTTAGTATTTTGGTCTCTCTTTGACGCTCGTTATATTTCTTTTCTAGTAGCGTAAATTAAAAGAAGTCTGTTTGCTATAATAGTTACCAAAATATTTACAAATATAATTTATGATATTGTTATTAGAAGAGAATCAATCTGTTCCTCAGGCTGTGACAAGAAATCATCCCCCCTTCTCCAGTAGGAAGTCTGCGATTTGATTTATGTTGGAAATGAATGTTGGTAAACCCCTGAATATTACTCACAGTGGAGCCGAAAGTGCATCTCTCAGCTTCTCCCTGCTGGCTGTGGGGACACAGCCTGTCCTCTGCCTCTCTACCTGTCACCCAGCTTCCGTGTCCAGGCTGCGGTTACTGAGCCTGTGCTTCGTTAGAGTCTCTTTCTGCTTTACACAACGCTATGATCAAATAGGGCTGCTTTCCCACCTGAGCTTGCATCAGTGCAATCCCAAGGGAAGAGTGAGGAGAGAGTTCTCGTCATAGCCTGGCTGACCCTGAGGGGTGCGATTCCCCACACGGGCAAGTTCCTGCTTCAGCAAGGAAACTGCCCGTCTGAACAGGCTGAGTGTGAACAGGCCGAGGGAGGGAGAGAGTGCAATGTGAGAAAGAGGAGGCGGGAAGAGAAAGGAAACAATCTGAAAGGAAATATTGTGTATTGAGACTTTCACAAGGAAAAGAGTAACATGTTCTTTTACTAAACCTTTACACGGTCCATGTAGACTGTTGTGGGATTGCTCACTCATCTCGGATGATTCAGTAATCTGGCTGCAGAGGGAGGGATCAGAAAAATAAAGATCTCTTCAGTTATAAACGTCAGCTGTGTCAGTTTATACAGGTGAGTAAAACTGTAAATAAACCATTATAACACTTTAGCAGAGAAGCACAAATAAAAAAGCAACATCCTGTCAGACCAACCTTTTAGACTTGTTTTGTGCATGCAGGAGTAGCAATGGATACCGATAAAACACACAACATTTTAGGTATCTTGAAGATCTTTGATCTATAGGAATCCTGGGAAAGACTTGTATAATAAGAAAAGGCTGGTTAACGAATGGTGTGAAACCCAAACTGATACTGATGCTATTAGTGAGGTGACATAGAGCTTTCTGTGCCATCTCTGTATGCTTTGTAAACTTCAAATAAAACTTCAGGAATGACTAAACACAGACTCACAAATTATTCTGGATTTGCCAACCATTTTGTGTTGCATGTTGAAGTATATTTATGGCAGTTTGTTCACTGTTTACATCGATTTTTGCTTGACCTGCAAGGTTTACTTCTGTGCAAATCTTTGTAAAGATTGTACAAGCCACAGTTGCATATACTATAGAAAATGTAGAGTGAGGAATGACAATGAAATCATTAGTTAACAGTTGTTCGAGTCCAGGAACTGTATGTCCACAGACAAAGAAGACAGTGAAAGACGAAAGCAGAGCCAGTGATGTGAGGTCTTTAATGGGGTTCCACAGGAATCAGGTCGAGAGCCTCTACTCCTACTTTGTGTAAGGAATTGGCACTCTGGTATAATAGCAGACAAATGGGCCAGCACAGCTCCATATTCATTTTTTGTTCCCTCCCATGGGTAAGGATCTGAGTACTTACAACCCCAAACAGATCCACACCCTGCATGTCTCTCAATTGAAGGTCCATAACCCAAAAGCTCTCTTTACAGTCATCAATTCAGATCGTACCGCTCCCTACTGTGTTACCTGGAGTTACAAAAGAGTACAAAAACACAACACAGTCCCTCAGTCCTACTGTGTCTGTCAATAGCTCAGTGGGTGTGGGAATCTGTATAGAGCTCTGATGCTGTTCCTCATTCCTGCTGTGTCAGTCTGTCAATAGCTCAGGGATGTGTATATATCAGTAGTGTCCATAGTGGAGATGTGCATATACAGTAGAGCCCTACAGTAGCTGAGCAGGTTTGGAAATGTGTTTATAGAGCACTGACACTGGCCATCAGTCCTGCCGTGTTAGTCTATCAATAAGTCAGTGGGTCAGGGAATGTGTATATAGAGCCCTGATGCTGTCTCTCACTCTTGTTGTGTCAGTCTGTCAGTAGGTCAGTGGTTGTGGGAATGTGTATAAAGAGCCCTGATGCTGTCCCTCAGTCCTGCTGTGTCAACCTGTTAATAGCTCAGTGGTTCGAGGAACATCTTTATAATGTCCTAACGCTGTTCCTCAGTAATGCTGTCCACATCAGTGACTGAGTGGTTCATGAAATGTGTAAAGTGCCTATAGAAAATCTATAATCCAGGACAGACACTGTCCCTCAGTCCTCTGTGCTACTGTACAGTATGTGCTTTGTTCCCCAGGCTGTGTGGCACTCAGCCAGCTTGTGTTTTTCCAGTCACTGCCTTTCCTGAATGTATGTCAGCAGTTTATTTATTTGTTTTTTACTCTACCAAAATATTTCCAGTTAGAAAGAAAATAAAAATCCCCTTTGTCTAGATCAGGCTTGTCTGTCTTTGTTTATCGATGCACAGTGAAAGAGTCCACAGAGCTGAAAGCTGCTATTGAATTAGACTGGAGCTGCAAAGCATTATTATTATTAGCAGTAGTAGTATTAGTGTTATTAGTATTGACTGAGATTAAAACATGGAGTACTGACAGACGTAGGCATAGAGTCGCTGAACAGAAGTGTGTGAGAATGTGAAAATGGTGTCAAATGAGAAGAAACCATTCAGTTCATGTAGTCCAGACATTTTTTGAAGGGAGCCAGGGTATGCTGTACATTAATGACATAGGTGGCCATCGTGTTCTAGACCCACACAATCCTTTGTGTCAAGTTTTAAACAAACTCCTCTGACACATGGCAACTACAGTAATCCTATCTAGTTGTGTTTTGATGAATTTCCTGAATCAGGTTCAATGACATTTTGAGACCCTCTTCTCTCTGTGCGAGGTCAAGCCTTCTGCTTTCCACATGAAGGAGACAAGGAGTTCATCATTTTGATTTTCTGAATTTTGTAACAATTTTCAATTCTTAAAATCAACATTTCTTACAATTTCTTTTATTCCTCCCCAAAGAGCTATCTCTGTCGCCAGTCATTGAACTGCATTCCAGGCATTGGGTTGTTCTTCATCCATGTCTTCCCAGGGCGGTAATGTCCTCTTTTCATAATCTGCTGACCAAATCTGATCAGATTTCTAAATACAGCTTTACAGTCTATATAATTCTGTAATATAAATTTGACATTATTTCACTCGATTTCCATCTGTTTGGCAGAATATTCGAGCTTTCTGCATTTGTTTCTTTACATTCAATGCAAGCAACCTGATATTCATGGTGCATTTGGCGGTTTGTCAATAGCCATTTAGCAGATTTTGCTTTTGAAAGTAACTTCTAGAGCCTCGGCGATAAGTCTCTTACAATAAGACTTCAGTCTTACATCTTAGCCAGAGAACAGAACACTTTGCAAGGAGGCCAGGCTATTAATCTCGAGTACAGTCGATGGCAGAGCCTGTTAACTTAATGGATCCTCAGTTCTCTTTCATTTTACCTGTCAATTGTGAATTTCACATGGTCTCTCCGCAGAGCAGGGCAGTCTCAAGAATTTTGCTGTGCTGTTGTTGACCTCGTCTCAGACCCCAGTCATTGGTCATCTCCACATCTGGATCTGTAGAATCAACATTAGCACCTAGGCTCCACACCATTTCAGGACCTTGAACTATCCAATAAGCTAAGTAATGAATTGATTCTAAATTGTTTACTTAATCATGGCTCTAATTAAGGATTAGCTGGACCAAGATTTGGAAAGGCATTTAGGTTTAAAAATGATAAAGAGCTGTGGTCCTAACACAGACCCCTGTGGTACCCTACTAGTAGCCCAAGCTATGTTAAAAGGGATTCCCCTTATCAGTGCTTTCTGTATTCTCCACATTGATCAGCTCAAAGTCCATATGCACACATTATTTTAGGATATTTACAGCTTCCAAATTGACAGTTACCCTTTATGGCACACCCCAGGGAGGGGTGCCATGCCACAACAGGATCTTAGAACAGGTACAGTAGATCGCAAGAAAAACAGATACGCGTGCATGGCAAATTAGAAACAGTCCAGCATAAAAATATAAGTCTCTCTGAAACTCTTCCAAAAAATCACAATAACATCCATGGATCCTTCCTAATAAAAAATTCAGTCCGCTGCTACTCACTCCATAGCAAATGTTAACAATCAATCTCGAAGCATCAACTTCCAGGTTTTAAATGTCGCCTGACCGATTGCCTTCCACCCACTGGGCAGGTGACTGGGGATGCTTTCTGCGGCATGTGGTTCAGACGAGAATCACCCTGGCCTTTCACAGGGTACCGCGTCACAAAATTCCTGGAAAATATACAAAGCAGCTCAACAGTATGTGTTAAGTCAAGAAGCCTGCTTTACGGAAATGCTTTGGTTGAAAATGAACACATTTATAGTTAGGTACTGCAAAAACAAAACTGTGCTTACGGAGGATGGTATTGGTTTGCCTCATGTCAGAGGCTGGACAGCATTAGAGCAGAAGAGATGTGCAGACGAGGAGACAGCACAGAGGCAGAGGCAGCTGAGGCTGTAGATGCTCTACAGACCTCCTCCTGCCTCCACTGGTGTGATAATTCCCTTCCCTGGGAGACGGGCAGGAGGCACTCTAGTGCTGAAAGAGGGTGAAAGGAGAGCGGAAGGACGAGAGCAGCTACTTCGAGAAAATCAGTAAGAATCTTGTTTCTATTTCAATTTTCTAATTCCTGTTTCTGTGTATTCATGTTTACCATGCTCTTAATATTTAATCTTATCCCTGCACCTCTGTACCCAAAACACAGGATGACTGTATGTTCACTAAACAATATTATCCTCCTGAAGTAAGTTTTAATTAGCATTAGATGGAAGCTTTGCCTGTAAATACTTTTCCAGTGTGTTTCTATGCACTTTCTCTACTCTATTAACTCATCCAGCTTCTAATACTGTTCAACCGCCCTTTGCTTTCGTAAGACAGCTATCCACTTCTACTGTATTTCACTTGAATCCATTATTGCCTCTTCAAAGACAGCTAACAAGGCAGAAATGCAGTATCTGGCTTTTTCCAGACCACGCAAACTGTCTCTTAGAATACTGCTGCAGTATGCAGTAGATAATCTTGATGACATAAGAGACTTCTTAGGTCTGAGTGCTCTTTAGCTATCTTGACAGTGTTACAGTTCTCATGTTGCAGGCTTTTTCTGCCTTGTACTGAGTTGCAATGTTCTGCACTGAATCCGTGGTCTTTGTGGAGTACAGGTGAAAGGCTGTGCAGTCTAGGTGCTCGCTGTGGGGTCCTGCCCCACAGGTGGAGGTACTCCTGTTACGGTAACTGGGTGGGATGTAAGGATGCCCTGTGGGCTTTGGGGAAATAGAGATTCCAGTAATAACAGGCAAGAAGGAGGGGACTTCTGGGCTGGGTGTGCTGGCTCAGCTACCAGTGTTCGGGAGCCAAGCCAGCAGTGCAGCACAGCCTCTGTGCACACATACACTCAGAGATGTGTAGCCCAGTGCTGCACATACTGTACAGATTCTGTCTGTGGTGACCATGTGCAGTCCACAGTAATGCATTCTCATTAGAGTAACTAGGTACAGAGAGAGGAGCATTCACCCCACTACACACACTGCACAAAATAAGCAATCTCTCAGAAAAAGAAAACACCTTAATAAATTAAAGTCCTCTTTGTCCTCTGGGGTTCTCACGAGGAATCAAGCTTGAACTAGTATACAGAGTACACAAATTCACAGACACAAGCAAGCATAGTTCACTTTGCACAGTATCCATATAATCAGTATGGAAGCACTACTGTAAGAGTGTGAGGTAAGACATTAAAAGCGTTCTCTTATGGAGGAATGTGGTTAAAGTTCATTTCCAGTGACCTAGTTGCTCTCTGCCCTGGCAGGGGGATCAGACAGACCAGACGAGAAGAGGCTGTGCTGAGGCGGAGTTTGTCAGCTTTTGGAAGGAGAGAAGTGGTGCGTGTCTTTACTCAAAATGAAACTTCTTGGCAGTATTTAAAGAGCAGCTGCCGGAGACGAGGGACAAAGACCTCGCAGTGGAGGAGCAGAAGAGCACGGACATCCTGCAGCACTGTGGACAGCGACTCCTCCCTGGCGCCATGGCAACACTGCGGGCCGCTCTGCTGGCGGGACTGCTGCTGGGCTGTGCACGAGGTACTGAGTTTATACTGAGTTCACACTGTCACCGTGCACAGGGGGCAGCTGGGTGCCCACCTAACTGCTCATCTTTCCACAGCAGGGTTAAAGTACAGATCAGTGTGTGTAGAGCAGCATACATATGAATAACGTCTCGAACAACATCGGTGACTCAAATATGATTATTACTTTTGTTGCACTCTAACAAACAAAAGGCAAAATGAGAAACAATAGTGCACTGCAGGGACTTTAGTTTTTGTGCGAAAGGGCAAAGACATTGTAATTCACCAAGGCAAGAACTGGATGCATGGTTTTGGGACAGTCAGTATTGGTCTATAATCATTTTTGCATGTCTCGCTGGAAGAGCACTGGCCAGTGAAGTAATAGTAGGGAACTGGATTTCTGGCAGCTGTGTGGCACAGGAGGTGTACTGTAGGAGAAGATTTCTCCATGAGAGGAGTATGGGGAACCAGGTGCTGCTCGTGCTGGGGTGCCTGTTGAGGAGTGTAGACGGAAAAGACCATCAGGGGGCACCCTGCAGCCTTCTGGAAGCCCTGGGGACTTCTGTTGATTGGCAGCCTCTGCTACTTATGTTGCCAAACTGCATTTTATAGAATGTGAAATACAAGAATAGATATGTTTGAAATTAATTTCAGAAACAGTGGCTGAGGTAACTAGATCAACCTTTTGTCAGTTTTACCAATTTGAAAAGGATCTAAAGCACTGTGCTCTGAAGGCCAGGAGTGGGATTGTCCTGTATTGTGCCTCTCTCTGTGCAGGTAACGACATGGGCTCGCTGGACTGCTGCCTCAGCACCAGCAGCATTCCCATCCCCCTCTCCATCTTGAAAGACTATCAGGTGCAGAACCCAGACCAGGGCTGCCGGATCCCCGCCGTGGTGTGAGTGAAGAGCATGTCTCCTTACTCCTTCTCCTCCTCTTCCTCATCATACTGACCATCCTGATCCCTCCCAACCCCCTTCTGTCTCCTTCCTCCTCTTCCTCACACTGACCATCCTGATCCCTAACAACCCCCTTCTGTCACCTTCCTCCTCCTCTTCCTCACACTGACCATCCAGATCCCTCCCAACCCCCTTCTGTCTCCTTCCTCCTCCTCTTCTTCAAACTGACCATCCTGATCCCTAACAGCCCCCTCCTCTCTCCTCCCTCCTCCTTCATCCTTTTCTCCCTCATCTTCTTTAGTGGAAAAAGCAACACTGCTAAATTTCTGTTCCTCCTTGTCGTGTTTTAAAAATGTCTCCTATTTAATTGGGCTTTCTGCCTCACACATCTCTTCCTCCACTTTGTACCCTCCGTAGTTCAAAGTGCTTATTTGGAGCGACAGAGAAATCACAGATTTTACAAAGCATGTCTCAAATAACAGAAAACAATTACATTTCATTGTAAAAAATGTGATTACACTTTTGACTTAAAAAAAGTGAAACACTTTTAATTTTATAGTTTTTTTATAGATAAATTCATGGTCATGTTATTAGAAATGCATTCATAGCATTTTAACAGCAGTGATGAAAGTCAATTGACATTTCTTAAGGAAAATACAGCTATGCCAAAAGCTGTTGATTATGTAATAACATGACAACATCAACTGCAATAAAACAAATAATAAAGGACAGACTTCCCTCTGTGCCTGACCAGAGTCATTCATTCTGTGGCAGGCCGTTGTGCTTGAGCTGCTCGTACTGGACACCTTGTCATTTTGTCCAAGAAAATGGGGAACATTTCAAATTGGCCATGTTAGGAAGTTCCTGGACTTGTAAAAAAGGCATCTGTGTCTGCCCGGGACTACGACTCTCTTCCTGTGTCCTGCAGGTTTATCACCAAGCGTGACAAGAAGCTGTGCGCCCCTCAGGACCTGCCTTGGGTGAAGAATATAAAGAAATGGCTTAACCATCAGGGCAAGAAGAAGAGCCCACACTGGTGAGCAGGGGGCAGGATGTCTGGCGTGGGAGTAGAGGGTGGCTGTGGGAGTTAGGGCAGACACCCCTGTCTGAGTATCCCATCCTGCCAGCACAGCCATTTGTACTGAGAAATTGACACAGTAAAGGGTCTTATTTGATACATTTGTAAAGACTTCAAAGTACAAGTTGTGACTGTTCACTCTAACACTCCAATATTTGTCCTTCCTCTAGGGGGCACCATTGAGATGGGGAGCAGGCTGAAGGCCTGGACTGTGTGAGTCCTATCGGCAAGACAACCTGTACTCCTGGCCCGCACAGTATTGCCCTCCAAATTCCAAGAAGATTCCAAATTTCTGAAACTCTGCCCATCTGTTACCTGACCAATACTGTAACCCTTGTATACGCCTGTGCTACACTGAATGTTTTCTTACCTGCATTTAAAAATATATATCGGAATATATCAGAATTTGTGTAATAAAGTTGAAAAAAAAAGACTTGTGTGGTAAAATACGTGCTGTTTTCTCATAGTATTCTGCACATGCTGAAAGTGTGATGCTGAGGTAGGGATTAGAGTCCTCCCAGAGACTAAAGTCATCCTCTCAGTCTTCAGAATTAGGAGCCCACAAAATGTAGAGCACAGCACCACCTAGCAGCAGGGTGAGGCAGTGCAGGTAGAGGTAGGCGTGGTCAAGGGCAGTGCCCAGCTCCCTGCTCAGACTCAGCCTGTCCTGCTGTTTCCGAAGGGACTCCAGCTCCCTGCGCACCCGGCTCAGCTCCTGCTTCAGCCTGGCCAGACTCTGAGGCCACACTCCCCGTCCCACACTGGCCTCCACCCTCTCCACCCTGCCATCTCCCATGATCAGCTCCTCTGAGAGCGCTGCAGACACACAAACAGGGGTCAGGGGTCAGCAAACAGATGACCTTGCTCTATGGCACAGATCATTTAACACTTCATTCCAAAAAGGAAAAAGACAGAAGACTCATCACTTTGCCAAACAAAGCCTTTATCTCTCTGTGAATTACTTCATGCAGGTGTTTACTGAAGAAGACACTCATAGCAGAAGAGTGGTTATCAGAGGAGCGGGGGTCTCACAGGAGCGTAGATGTGAGTTACAGGAACAGACACACCACAGTCACCAAAAAGACCAATGAGTCCAACTGAATACTTATTAATTGTGCAATAAGATTGTACCCAGTTTGGCAGCAGGCGATGAGCCACGAGCTTTCCAGTGAAACATTGGCCTGCTTGCTTGGTGTTGTCTGTCTTACTACACGTCAATGAGAGGTGTTATCCTTCCCAGTCAGTCATTTAAAGATTTTTAGAGATTCACTAATGATAAAAAATACCTTTGCTATAAATTGTTGCAAACATAAATTTGTAACTAACTGGTAATCAAAAATAACTTCAACATGCAAAAAGCACAAAGGGAATCAGATCAATTAAAACTTAGCTACAGTACTTCTGTCACCCTTCACACACCAGCCAATGGAGGTAAGGTACTTGCCTTTAATCTCTGCATTCTCCCATTTTCCCTTCCGCACCAGCTGTGATAGTGGGGGGAAGATGTATTTTGCCACCCATGCACTTCTGTCATTGGACAGCTGGAAAATAAGTGCCGTTTCCATGGCACTACAGGCAAGCAGCCCAAGGGATCCAATCAAGTACACCTCTGGGGAGAAGGGGTTAACACCGAGTTTAATTGAGTGTAGTCCTACAGCAGTCTGCCCTGGGGCGGTTTACCTACTGTTTACTGTCTCTGAGCCCTGGCACGCACCTTGTCAATAAGCACTGTATACGCATCAGCAATCCAGAATTTATAACACTCCTTATGATACAGTGAGTGTTTTTGTCTGTATTTTATCCCTCATCTTAACATCTCACCTCCCTTTTCATTGACTGCCCCAACAAACAGTTCTCCTGTTGCCTGATGCTTCTCTCTTGCTAGTCCCTCTTCCCTATATTCAGAAACACATTTCTTGGTCTTTCCTTCTCCCCCTCCCTCCCCATCTCACTCTTCCTCTGTCTCTCTCTAACAGGTCTCATAATGTGTCCAGGCTGATGTTGCTCCCAAGACTCCCAGCAATGCTGACGTCTCCCACACCAGTCGGCTGGTCTTCTGGCGTGGCAGACATCAGCCACCTCAGAGAGAGCCCTAGCTGGGCATTAGTTTCACGTCACACCTCCCTGTCCCACACTTCTGTCTCACCAATGAGGGGCAGCTGTCCTCTGAAGGGGGGGAAGAGGCTGAACACCATGAAGATGAAGATGAAGTGTCCGGTAAAGATGGTCGTCTTCACACTGAGCCGCTGTTTGTAGTACGGGGGGATGAGGAAGGCCAGCCCGTCCAGGAGGAGCAGAAAAGAGCTGGGCAGCAGGAGAGTGACCAGGTACAGCAGAGGCCTCCTGCGCACAGTCACCTGACACACACACACAGACACGAGTGAGGCAGAGTCAGCCTCACACAAATAGAAAGAGTGTGTTTTTATCAAATCCTGTATGTGAGCATCTTTATTGCATTTTGTAAGGAAAGTATTTTGTTCTCCAGTACTATAGACCCAGATCTGTTTGTTTAATCGGCGTCTTTCAGAGGAGATGGAATTAGAAGTGAGAGAGGAGCCAGAAGACTAACTTCTGGAAGTGCACTCTTTGCTACAGAGCTGTGGGAGCAATAGAACTGAGAGTGGAGAGAGAGATGTGGCAGGGGAGTGAATAATAGTTGGTGATACAGGTGAAAGTGTCCCACTGACCTGCACCCTGACAGTGGAGGTGTTGCTGGGGGATTTGGACAGTATGGATGATGTAGGTCCAGGCACAGTGAGGGACACCAGTTCCCACTCCCCCTGAGAGAATGACCTGTCCCAGTTCCTGCCAATCTCCACAAACTGGGGGCTCAGCTGGACTCTCACCTCCTCCCCTGGAAAATGATGGGGGAACAGAGAGGAACGAGGGATGGGAGAGAAGGAGGAAGGAATGAGAGTCACTGTGGACAACCAAATCAGATGGAAAGTGTTAAAAAGTTCAAAAGTTTAAGTCTGACTTTCAATTTAGGTCTGACTGGCAGTAAAATAAAATATCAGATGCAGAAATAAAGAGGCAAACAGAGATATATGGGTAAGAGGTACTGAAACATGAAGAGAGAGGAAAGCAAGGCAAACTGGCTGACAGTGTGAAAGGAGCAAAGTGAAGAGTGACTGAGAGAGTGAGAGTGAGAAAGGAGCACAGCGAAGAGTGACCGAGAGTGAGAGGGAGAAAGGAGCACAGCGAAGAGTGACTAAGAGTGAGAGGGAGAAAGGAGCACAGTGAAGAGTGACTGAGAGTGAGAGGGAGAAAGGAGCACAGTGAGGAGTGATTGAGAGAGTGAGAGTGAAAAAGGACCACAGCGAAGAGTGACTGAGAGTGAGAGTGAAAAAGGAGCACAGCGAAGAGTGACTGAGAGTGGGAGGGAGAAAGGAGCACAGTGAAGAGTGATTGAGAGAGTGAGAGTGAAAAAGGAGCACAGCGAAGAGTGACTGAGAGTGAAAGTGAAAAAGGAGCACAGCGAAGAGTGACTGAGAGTGAAAGTGAAAAAGGAGCACAGCGAAGAGTGACTGAGAGTGGGAGGGAGAAAGGAGCACATTGAAGAGTGACAGAGAGTGAGAGGGAGAAAGGAGCACAGTGAAGAGTGACAGAGAGTGAGAGGGAGAAAGGAGCACAGTGACAGAGGGACACAGATCCTTACACGTGTGTGCCAGCGACCCGAAGGTGAGGTTGCAGGTGTGCCTGTCCAGAGGGAAGTGGTGCAAGTCAAGTGGGCAGCTGGACACCAGAAGATGAGGCTGAATCTGCTCTACCTGTCCCAGGTGAGACACAGACACCAGATGTGACCGTGGAAGACTGTTCTCACCTGCTCTGAACAATAAAGAGAGAGGACTGACATTGAGGAATTAACGCTGGACTCCGGGAGGGGACCCATATTCACAAATCAATATAGAGAATTATTATGCACAAAATTAATAATCTAAAATATTACATCAATATAGAACATAAACTGTGAATTTTAAACTTTAGGCCTTTCATGAAAAAGTACTGTATCATATAACCAGAGAAATAAAAGAATGTGCCCCCGTGAAAAACATTACAGTACATCCTGGTACACTGTCCTCAAAATATATTCAGACAGCAAAGTCCAAACTTTGATTTAGAGTCAAGCAATTTGATTTTGTGATCAGGAGCTTGAAATGAATGATAAGCACAGTACAGTATGCATTTTATTCTTGATTAATTCCAATCACATTTGAACATAGCTGACCAAAAACATACTTTGTGTTAACAATAATTCCAAGTTATCATGAGTATTGAGACACATTCACTTTAAAGTACATTTCAAACTGTTCAAAGTCAGTATTTGATTGCATATTTTTTGTGGCAGTAACTGCACGACTGCACGAAGATCGACTGACTTCTCCAAACTC